AAATGATGCCTATAAATTATGTAATAGCATTTTATAATTGTTTTATTTCCTGATTTTAAAAACTGTCTTGTCCTTCCATAAGAACATATTGGGGGCTGGGGGTATGATGCTGCCAGCAGGTCAATCTGTACCTGTGAGGCGAGTACATCAACAGCCTGATGGCACCTTCAGACTTCCAGACACCCCAAAATTTCTGCTGTGTCTTTGGCCAGACCCCAAAAACTTGGGGCAAAGTTTACCAAGTAAAGGACTAAAAGTTAAGTATGTGGGAGACACACCCACAAACCACCTCTAGCTCAGCTATATAATTGGAGGCAAGGCCTCTCCGGATCCTGATCGAACTGCTTAACGGCCATGATCTCAGAGACTCAGAGACAAATCTTAGAACTCAGTGGCTTTTGGCAAAGATTTGTTTAGTCCCCTCAGTAAGTTACTGTTGCCTGGCCACCCCAGGGGGTGCTGTCCCTCCGCCTGCTCCCCGTTGGCAGCTCGGTGGCTGCCATCGTCCAGAGGCCACTGGACAGTCAGATTTGGGCCCTCAATGACAAGACACGTGGGGCCTCACAGGACGAGGGTGGAGCCGGCCCTTTCCTCCCTGCCCCAGTGAGACCCCAAGTCATCTCCCATGAACGGCCTCTCTGGCTCCTGATCAAGCTGATTAATGGCCATGACCCAAGAGACTCAGAAACAAATCTCAGAACCAAGCAGGTTTTGGCAGAAATCCCTTCAGATTTGATTGTTAAAATTTCGGAATTCCTGGGGCTGGAGCGATAGCACAGAGGGTAGGGTGTTTGCCTTGCACGCAGCCAACCCAGGTTCAATTCTCAGCATCTCATATGGTCCCCTGAGCACCGCCAGGAGTAATTCCTGAGTACAGAGCCAGGAGTAATCCCTGAGCATTGCCGGGTGTGACCCCCCCCCAAAAAATGGCTGAATAAATAGCAAAACTCTTACATAAAAAAGAAGATATTGGGGAAATAGACTATAAAGAATAGAGAGGAAAATAATCAAAGAGTGGAAGAAAAACAGAGTTGTAAGTTAGACACCAACAGAAAAACTAATTCTTACACCTTTTCTGTAATTATGAAATTGCTTCAAAATGTAAATATCAGAGAATAGCAAAAACTGCCTCATTGCATTGCCACTCTTGGTTTTTTGTTTTATTTTTGTTTGTTTGTTTGTTTTTTGCGAAGTGAAGCTACCAAACCTCTCCCTCTCCAGAGCCTCTCTCACCTAAAGAGTCCTGTGTCCCTCTCTCTGTCACTCTCCTCCCCTCTGGCTTTCCAGAGCCTTCACCACAGCCTCCTGCTAATCTGTGCTTCTGTACCCCTCCTACACTCCACCTGCACCCCCATTCCACAAGGGCCCCTCCCAGCCACCACCACACTGATCAAAATGATTTTTCTTAAAAGAAAACATTAACCTTATTTAAAACCTTTTTGTGAAAGTCTAGAAGAGTTCAGTCTTCTCTGATTGGGTGCAACCCACCCAATCTCCATGCCAAGTCCACTCTGGAGCCTAGGCTTATGTAGCACCAGGGAACAGGATGACCGGATACTATACTTTCCCCAAACTCACCACACTGTATTCCACTTCCACTCTTTTGTACGTGCTATTTATTCTTCTAGAGTACCATCCCTCTCTAACCCACAAAACAGAGACTCCTCTTTAATTTCCCTGATCCATAACCCCAAGCCCCAGACAAAACTAAATTATTTCTACTTACACACCATTAAGCTTCATCTGCTTCCACAAACATACTTGAACTTAGAGGAGACTCTCAACCACCCAACTCAGACAACTATATACATTATTTTTAATATTCTAGTTTACTTGCTCCTTGACTGTTATTACATCTAACCTTTTCTTTACAGGCTACTTTCTCCCACAGTCTCAAGCTGCAATGGTGACAGATATGAATACACACTATTGGTTACCTTTTCTTCCTAGCACCATCTCCCATTTTCCGTATTGGGATTTCTTTCATAGCTCAAGTAAAGTATTTTCACTTGAATTCTTCCTCCAGCTCAGCTTCTGGGGATAGAAACTAGAATAATATGGCTCGGTCATGTGAGCTTCCACCCTTGGTCCCTCTGTTTACACAAACAATCCTGTAATCCAACATGTCTCCTTTTCTCAAGCCTCCATAATGCATTCGTTATTCGTGTCAGAGGATTCCTTGTTATGTTTTCCTATCAGAGATTCCTTTGAAATAAATGAAGTCAAAGGAAAGTATTTCTCTCTTTTCATACTTTTTGATATAAAACTCTTTTAGATTTTGTTTTTTTATTTTTTTTAATTTTTTAATTAAATCACCATGAGATGCAGTTACAAAGCTTTCATGTTTGAGTTTCAGTCATACAATCATCAAACACCCATCCCTCCACAAGTGCACATTTTCCACCACCAATGTCCTCAGTAACACCTCCCATTCTACCCCTCCCCTGCCTCTATGGCAGATATTTTCCCCCATATACTTTCTCTGCTTTTGCAGATTTTGTTTTAACCTTGAAAATAGCAAGTACAGCTGATGAAGGGACAGGTTTTGACTCAAATTCAAATTGAACAACTTTGTAAGTGTATGTCTCACTGGAATTCAGCTAAAAACCCAAGCACAAAAAATTGTAAGTCTACAATTGTACCTCATGGTGTTTCACTAATAAAAATTTTAAAATAAATAAATAATTTTTAAAAGAAAATATCAAGTACAAGTTTTCAGCCTTCCACACATCAAGAACTGAAATAAAGTACTGACAACAACCCTGTGTTAGTATATTTTTTGGTGAAATATTTAGAAAATAGACTAATTTTTCAGTAGTTCCAGTTTTATCAAGATTAAGCAGGGTGCAGAGATTTCCCATACCCCCATTTCTCATACATTCACAGATTTTCTACTATCATAGTGACTTATCAACTTTTTGTAAATGTTTAATTTACATAAATACATTATAACTAAGGTCTGAGGTTTTCATTATGTTTCACTTATGGTGTTACACATACTACGTATTTTGACAAATGCCTGATGACCCACCAATAAACTATCTTACAGAATATTTTCACTGTCCTAACATCCTCCATGCTCTATTTGTGTCTTACTTCTCTACACTCCCAAGGACCACTATCAAAACGTTTCAGTTCCCATAGTTTGCCTCTACACTTTATTAAAGTTATTTTCTTTCACCCCACAGCACGCATGGAAGTTTCTAGCTTTTTCTTTTATTTTATGGCTCTTTTCTTAGAATTGAATGCTATATTGTTAGGATGTACCACGAGTTATTTACTTATTCAACTTACAATGGACAACTGCTTCAAAATCTTGTTAATTTTGAATAAATTTGCTATAAACATCCATATACAGATTTTTTAATGAATTTACCCAATAACTCCATTGGGTAAATAGAAGTGTTGAGATTGCTGATATGTATGGTATAGGAAAGCTTAACTTTGTTTAAAAAAAATAGCCACGTTTTCTTCCAAGGAAGCAAAGCATCGGGAATTAGTGACACAAAAAGTTTCTCCACATCTTTGTCACTAATGTTTTCAGAGTATGATCATTGTGCTATAGTCTCATTACCATTTAAATGACATTTCTTTGAAGACATATGGGTGTGGAGCATATTTTCATTTGACAACTTTCTGTATATTTTCTTTGGGGATAAGAAGATGGCTCTTACTCGTTTTTTTTGTTAAACTTTCAGGAGTTCTTTGTATATTTTTGGTAAAGCCTTTTTCAGATTTATCTGCTGCAAAAATTTCCTCTCAATCCATTAGATTTAGCTGCTGCAAATATTTCCTCTTAATCCATCATTCCATTAGTAATGTCTTTGTAGAGAAGATGTCAGTTTCAATAAATTTTTAATTGCCAATTATTTATTTTATTAAATCATACTTCTTATATCTAGAAAGTCGTCTCTATACCCTGGGGAGTCTAGATTTTTATATTATCTTAAAGGAGGTTCATAGGTTTACATTTTACATTTATGTCTATAATTCTTTTATTAATTTTGTGGATGTCTAATTGGTACCATCACCATTTGTTGAAGAAACTATCTTAGTTCCATCATATTGCCTTTCTTTGTCAGAAAGCAGTTTATTATATTTATGTTGATTTCTCAACTCTTGAATTGATTTGCCTTTGCATTATTTCACCAATATCTTACTCTCTTGATTACTGTGGAGCATGGCAACAGTCGCCAGAGCAGATAGATCTGTCCCTGTATAGCAGATAAGATCTGTCCCTGCATAGCACCCAACAGGGAGTGTCCAGCGCATTTTGCAAGCACCAGGCATCAGGCCTTGAGTCTCACCTCCCCTCAAGAGTCATTCCTAACTAGCCCTAATTGGGATTGAACCAGGGCAAAGCAGAATTGGAAAGGTGATAGGTCAGTAATGCTAAACTTTATGTGATTGTACCATCCTCTTAAGCCAAGACCCCTGTATAAAATATGTGTGTATTTGGCAATAAAGTGAGTGGCCATCAGCTGTCTTCTGGAGTGGTTTCTCTGCACACCCATTATCCTCCACCCTGCATCTGCCCAGACCCAGTGCGCAACATGTCTGGGCACATTGGGGTGGAGCGGGGGAAGAGTGCTCTCCAACGAATTACTACTATTTATGTCTTTGTAAGTACAATAGTACTGGTTTTTTATTTTGTTCTTCTCTTTCAGTATTGCGTTACCTATTCTGGCATATCTCTTCACATAAACTATGATAAGTTTGTTGAAACCAAAGTGTTGAGGCACAGATGCTACCTGAGCTCATGTGTTGCTTGCGTCCATGTGGCTGAGCACATGTGGGCTGAGCACATGTGTTGCCTGCATCTCCCCTCTTGAGATGTGTACTTTCATGTTTTTCTGTCTAATGCTAGGATGTGTGTAGGGGCTCTCTCCACCCTTGGAGAAGCCTGGTTTCTCTCTTGAGTACGTTATTCTCTCTCATTCTCTTCCTCTCCAAAAACCTCCAAATAAAATATATTTATTTCAAAAAAAACAAACAAAAAACAAAGTGTTGACTGTTGTTTAGGTTGCTTCCCTGTTCTAGTAATTGAACATTGGAAACTAAGATAAGGTCTGGGAAAAATGATTGGATAAAAGGTATATCTTTATTCATTTCCCTACCAACCTAAAAAAAATAAAAAACATAAGTTGTTGATATCCACAAAGCAGCTTGCTGAGATCTTAATTGCAATTAAATTGAATTTATAGATCAACTGATAAATATAGGAAAAGCTTACATTCTGACATACTGAATTTTCTTATGCATATAGAATATTTTCACCCCGAGCAGAGCCCCGACAGCCGCAGACCTCCAGTACCCAGCCACAGCCATGCTCAAGGCCACTTTCCACATGCTCGGAAGAGCCTCACACATAAAGGAACCAGTAGAGGAACCCAGGTGCATGTGTCCGGAGACTGAGATCTCCAAGCCTGCTCAGATTGGGACTCGGCCTCCTCCACCCAGATCCCCCATTTTCCAGTAACTAGGCAGTTACACCCACAAACTGCCTCCAGTGCAATGAAAGCCCATCAATGGCCAAGATCCAGAGACTATAAAACAAAACTCCCAGAAGCACGTGGCTGCATATGCAGCTGCGCAACCTCTTATAGTCTAGTTTTCCTTCTTGGAGAACCTGGCAAGCTACCAAGCGTATCCTGCCCGCACAGCAGAGCCTGGCAAGCTCCCGTGGCATATTTGATATGCCAAATACAGTAACAATAACAATGATGTGTTTCATTCCCCTGACCCTGTAATAGCCTCCAATGTGGCACAGTTGGGAATGGTAAGTAAGGAGAAGCTGCTAAAATCTCAGGGCTAGGACAAATGCAGACGTTACTGGTGCCCTCTCGAGCAAACTGATGAAAAACAGGATGACAGTGATTCCCAATTTCTTTTTTTTTCTGCCTTCATCAGAGTTTTGTAGTTTTCCTCATATACATCTTGCATTCCTTTTTAGTCCTTTTTAATTTTAACTTACAATTTAAAATTAAATTAAAGTGGTTTATAATACTGTTAATCATATGAACACAGGAAGAAAATTAAAAAGACATGCTTTTGTAACTTGGGAACTAATTGACTCTAGATAATATTACATCCTGGACAGCTGCTCTCTCAACTTAAACCTCAGTTGCCCTTACTTCCTAGATCTCCAAATACAGGGTTCTGCTGAGGTTGTTACACAGTTAATGATAGGATTTTATGCATAATACAAGCCCCCACCAGACTATCCACTCCCTTCACTATTGTCCCAGTGGTTCTCCCCATCTTAATCCCCCAGCCCCTTGCCAAAGGTAAACTACCTACTGAAAACTCATTCTTATTTGTTATACCCCTACTATATTTTTTATATCATTTGGTGGCTTTCTCTCTTATTCTTATTTTACTCAGCATGATACTCTACAAATCTGTTCTCATAGAAGCAAATTGCAATATTTCATCTCTTCTTATCGCCAAGTAGTACTCCATTGTGTTTAAGTACTATAGTTTCTGTATCCAGCCATCTGTTCTTGGAAAAGTTGTTGTTTCCAGAATTTAGCTATGTGAATAATGTTGCAATGAATATAGGAGTTCAAATATCTTTTCTGAATAGTCTTTGGAGTCTTGCATTAGATGCCAAGAAGGGAAATTTCTAGGTCTTATGGGAGTTTTATTCTTAATGTTTTGATGCATTCATATTGTTTCCAAAAGGGTAGTCAGACAGAATTCCCACCAACAGTGAATGACGGTTCCTTTTTCCCCACATTCACTCCAGTGCTAATTGTTTTTGTGATATGTGCCGATCTCACTGGTGTGAGATGTTATCTCATTATTTTGTATTTCACTTATACGTGATGCAGAGCATATATATATATATATATACATATATATACATACACATGTATGCCTTGAGGAAGTTTCTGTTTATCTCATCTGCCCATTTTTCATGGGGATTTGTTGGGGTTTTTTTTCCTTGTAAATTTTTATCAGTGCTTTATGTATCTTGGATACCAACTCTCTGTCAGATGAGCGGTAGGAAAACATTTTCTCCCAATCTGTGGATGTCTTTTTGTTCTAGTCCTCATGTCTTTTGTGTTGCAGAAGATTCTTAGTTTTGTGTGGGGTTTGGGCATTGGGCTTTTCAAGCAATTCTCAGAAGGCCTAGAGTCCCTCCATCAATTCTCCCAATTGGGAGGTGACTCAATGGAAAGCCTGAGGATTCATTGCTGCGTGAGCCCTGTGGAGTGAAATAAGAGGGCTACCCTAACAGTTCTGGGGACCTCCAAGGACACATCTGGAGATGCATAGGTACCTCCAGGACCGCATCTAGTGATATTCAAGGGACCATATGCTGTCAAGAGTCAAAACTGGGTCAGGTGTATGCTGAACATGGGCCTCAAACACTATTATTTCCTGGAACCATTTCTAGTCTTCTTGATGTGTGCCAGTCTCACTAATGTGAGATGATGCTTCATTGTTTTATTTGCAAATGATGAAATGATGAAAGAACACTTATTGTATATATATTAAGCATCTCATTTTCTTGAGGAAATGTCTCTTTGGATCTCTCTCTTTTATGATGGGGGCTATTTGTCTTTATTGTTAAGGTTGGCAAGTTCCTTACATATTTTGGATTCTAACCCTCTACTAGATTTGTAATGAGTAATTTTTGCACCCAGTCACTAGGATGTCTTTTTATTCTACTTTTTGTCTCTTTCACAGTACAGAAGCTTCTTAACTTTATATAATGCCATTTGATTGTTTTTTTTAGCTTGGCCAAAGGCATTTAGTCATTGAAAACACCTCTACAGTCAGTGTCATGTAGAATTATGCCTATGATGTAGTTTATGGATATGGGTCTAATAATAAGGTTGAACTAACTTCTGAGAATATTGTGACACAAGGACCCAGCTTCTTTACTTTGCATATAGCTAATCAGTTTTCCTAACACCACTTGTTGAAGAGTCTTTTCTTGTCCCACTTCAAATTATTTGCTCCTTTGTCAAAGATTAGCTATCCATGTATCTGAGGACATGTTTTTAGGCTTTCAATTCTATTCCATTTGTCTAAGAGTCTGTTTTTATTTCAATACCACAGTCTTGATTACTATAGCTTTATAGTACTATTTAATGTGGGGAAATAAAAAAAGGTCTTCCATCTGTTTTTCCCCAGGATTGCTTAGGCTTTTTGGAAAGTTTATTACTCCATATAAATTTTAATAGCATTTGGTATATTTCCTTAAAATTGTTGTGGGATTTTTTATGGGGACTTCATTTACCTGTTATAGTGCTTTAACTGGAATGGTCATTTCAACAATGTTAATTCTTCCAACCCATTTACAGAGAATGTGTTTCCATTTCCTGTCTTTTCTATTTAAGTTAGTAGTAATTTATAGTTTTATTTTCATAAAAAAATTTATCATTTTTGTTAAGCTAATTCTCAAATACTTTATTTTGGAAGGGCCAGTTGTGAATAAATTTTTTTCACTCTCTCTTCTACTTGTAGAAGAGAAATTAATCCATAGAAATTAAATGGATTCCTGCAAATTGATTTTGTAGGCTGCAACTTTACTGTATCTATTTGTTTCTAGGAATTTTAGTAGTCTAGTGTCCTCTAGGTGTATGATGTCATCTGAAAATAAGTTGTAGTTTGACTTCTTTTCCAATACGAATACCCCTAAGAGTTCTTTCTTCTCTAATTGCTATGGCAAGGACTTTAGTCCTATAATGAATAGTATTGGTGAGAATGGACAGCCTTTTCTTGTGCTGAATCTTCAAGGAACAGCTTTCAGTTTTTCACCAGTGAGTAAGCTTAGACTATTGGATTTGTGTAGTAAATGGCATTTGCTAGACTGAGAAAGGTCCCATTTATCCCTATTTTGCTGAGGCCTTTTATCATGAATAAGGTTTTCAATATTTTGTGTTTTTTTGTTGTGGAGGCAACAGTGCTCAGAGCTTACTCCTGGCTCTGCATTCAGGGATAATTTCAATTGGCTCGAGAAACCACATGGGGTGCCAGGGATTGGACTAGGGTCAGTCACATACAAGGTAATCACACAATGTAATATGGTGTTCTAATTAATGAAAGTCAACCAATGCAATACACAGATATTGAGATTATCATGTTGGTTCTTTACCCACTTTTATATGCTGAATCCTTTTACATAAAGACCCCAGTGACTCACCCTTCAATATAGTGGGTTTGGGCTGCCAGAACTCCTGTACTCAGAGTTCTTCCCTCTCTCCTCCAATTCATCTCCTTCTATAGCTAGATAAATGCCTTCCCTGACATGGAATTGTGTGAGGATAATACTGTTTTGTATTTAGTGCCACCTATGGCCATATTTCTCTAGCTTAAGTGCTATGAAGAATAGGATTCCTTGACTGTATACATAGACTCATCCCACTGTTATGGCCTGGAGTCAGCTGGGCCCCAGAGCAGCTTTTTGCTGAGATTTTGTATAAGTAGAAATCTGAAAGAATGTAGGTGTATTTTCAGCACAGCAATTTTCCAGGACATCATGCATGTAAAGTATTGGCCTACTACTGAACTACTTTCCCAGTCCATCCCTCCACCCTCCCTGTCAACACTTTCACTTTTTACCATTTTAGTGAATGTGCTAGAGTTTGCAATAAGCATTTACAACTAATCCAAGTCCATTTTCAAATGATACTATAAGCTTCACAAGTGGTACAGTACCTTGTAAAGCAAAACATTCTTAATTATTCCTTTTCCTTCCATGTGTCATCACTACCATTTATTTCAATTATATAAACTATAATTATTGACTATGAACTTTACAAGTAACACTCTATGTTTTTTTTTCCATCCTTTAAGTGGAACAAGATGACTAGAGAGGATGGGAATTGGGTATTTTCATTCCCCAGAGTTGATTAGGCTCTGATAAAGCTCCAGAAGTTTGGGGTCTAATAATACCCCAATAGATTAGGCTCTGGTAAAATAGCTTCTATTGAATGCTGTCATTTCTGTGAAGAATATAATATTCTGTATTATTTCAAAGTGGCTCCTTCTGGTAGAATTTTTTTCCAGTCTTCATAGTAAAAAATGCCTCATTTGCCAAGGCGTTGAAAATAAGATGGGCTGGACATGTAATGAGATTTGGAGATGACCACTGGACTAGAGCCATTACCCACTG